GTGTGGACTCAGACTACAGGGAAAGCTAGCCTGTTTGGGGTTTGCTGACCACTCAGTCTCACACTCAGTGTTTAAGAACGCCGCTGTTGGTGAGGATGTTCTGACATTTACCATCAAAGCAAGACTGCAGGTATTACCCACTAAGTACAATCTGTCCACCTGGTACCCTCGCATTCACACTCCATTCTGTTTAAACCATCAGGATTCACAACAACACCTAGAATCCATTGCACACATAACAAATGGATGTAATGCATACAAACGCCTGTACATAGCCCGTCATGACCGTATTGTGGACATTGTGTCTGATGCGGTACGAAACATCTTACCATCTAGCGCAGCAATGTACAAGCACGCTAGAGTGCTACCAGAATGGTTTGGTTTTACCAATGATGTCTTTGCTAACATCCCAAATACACCTGATGTTGTTTTTGTTGACACCAACCACAGGGAGGTGCTAATATTAGAAGTAGGCTGTGCCTTTGACCTGTACATGGACCAGGCTTTCCAGGACAAGTATATCAAATACCAACCACTGCTCGATGTGATAACCAGCTTTGGGTACAAGTGTAGATACAGCATACTTATATTCGGAAGTCTTGGCCATGTATATAAATGCACCATGATTGGTCTGAGAATTGCTGGAATGTCAAAGAGAAAAGCCAAACAAATTGCCAAATATTGCTCTGTTTCAGCTATTATTGGCAGCTTAGCCGTGTGGAGAAGGAGATGCTATGTGTTCCCCTAAGTGTTCTGTGCTGCTTAGCCCCGATATATTTGATTCCCTGTCTTATGTAATATAATTTGTGGAACCAAATAAAGTATTCAAATGTGTGTGTGTGTGTGTGTGTGTGTGTGTGTGTGTGTGTGTGTGTGTGTGTGTGTGTGTGACGCTGCATCTCTCTCGCTCACAGACATGCTGCAGCGCTGTGCAGTGTGCACACAGTTCTGCCGGTAATGAATATTACATTTTGTGAGGAGACTTTTCCACCAATAACTCCAATAAGTATTCCAAAATGTATTCACTTCAGGTTTACGAAAGTAACTGTAATCAGATTACTCGTTTTTCAAATGTAACGCCAGCTGAATACAGTTAGCCTACTTGATTTTTGTATTCTGATTACGTAACGCCGTTACATGTATTCCGTTACAACCCAACCCTGCTTCTAGGCTACTGTCCCGCAGCTCCTGCCTCTCTGTTGGACTCTGTCGCAGCGGGGCTACTGCTGTGGTGCGGACCGCATTAACCAGACTCTTCACAACGAAGGATCACTTCTTGTTCAAGGCAGGGAAGGTTTCGCAGTACGCAGTCTACTGACCCGCAGCTGCTGCCTCTCTGTTGGACTCCGGTACTGCACCTTACTCACGAGACGTTGTAAAAAAAAAAAATGGGTGGGAGGCGAATGCAGTAACCACTCCGCCAACGCCACAGTCACCCCCGTCGTGCGGGCCGGATGAGAATGTCTGGCGGGCCGGATGTGGCCCGCGGGCCGCCAGTTGGTGATCACTGGCCTACGAGTACAACAGACTCCCGTTCGGCTACTCCCTATCCCCACGCACATTCAGCAAATGTGTGGCCACAGCGCTTCAACCGCTGCGCACCCATGGCATGAGAGTTTTCTTTTACATAGACGACCTCATAGTCATGGCTGGGTCCCGGAACAGGCAATGTTTTGCACAGCACAGTTGATCACACACCTAACCAAATTAGGCTTTGCAATCAACTGGAAAAAGAGCACCCCCATACCTCACCAACAGGCGTTGTATTTGGGTGTGGTGCTCGATGCAGGCGCGCTACGCGCCACCCTGTCAGAGAGCAGATGTGCGTCCCTTCTCCGGGCGGTTCACATGCTGTGACAGGGGGCGACAGTGACAGCTTTAACTGTCATGCAGACTCTGGGTCTCATGGCGGCTGCTCACGTTGTGGTCCCGTTGGGGTTACTGCATATGCGCCGCCTGCAGAGGTGGTTCTCCAGCCTGCGTTTGGATCCCAAGAGGCACAAACCCCTCAGTGGAGGGCAACCTCCGGTTCTGGGGGTCTCCCGGGCGCCTCCGGAGGGGGTCTCCACTGGGGCGGGTAACCTCCTACATCACAGTGTTCACGGACGCATCCAGAACAGGATGGGGAGGGACCTGCCTGAAGAGGGCTATAGGTGGGCGCTGGTCTCTAACGGAAACACGACACAGCAACCTCCTAGAGCTACGGGCGGTAGTGTTAGTCCAGCATTTCATGCCCCTAATTCAAGGGAGACATGTATTGGTCAGGAGCGACAACAGCACCACAGTGGCTTATATCAACAGGCAGGGCGCTCTGCCGCCTTGTTGGCCACAGCGGAGAGGCTGTGGTTATGGGCATCAGAGGTGGTGTTATCTCTGAGAGCCCTCCATATCCCGGGACTGGAGAACAGGGGAGCCGACCTCATGTCGAGGGGCGGCCCCCTGCCAGGTGAGTGGGTGCTTCACCCAGAGGTGGTGAAGCAGATCTGGGCCCAGTTCGGGAGAGCGGAAGTGGATCTGTTCGCCAGCCGGCGCAACAGCCACTGTGCCCTGTGGTTTTCCATGGCCCTGAGCGACGACCCACCTTTGGGGGTGGACGCGTTTGCACACGAGCCATGGCCAAGGAAGCTGCTCTACGCCTTTCCACCATTGCGTCTCATTCTCCCTCTCCTGGGGAGAGTAAGGCGAGAACGTTTGGCAGTCATCCTGGTAGCACCGGATCGCGTCGGGGCGCCGTGGTACTCAGAGATGACACAGATGAAGGTGGGCCAGCCTTGGGCGATTACCCAGTTCTGGGGGGCGATGTCTCAAGAGGCAGGTGCAATCGGGGCGTTACCCACTCTAGGCCGTCCTCTCCAGGCTTGGCTCCTGAGAGGGACAGGCTGAGACAGGGTGGATTGTCTGATAGTGTTATTCAGTCTGTCCAGGCAGCTAGAGCTGGATCCACCACAGCCTGTTACAGGCCAAAGTGGCTGGGATTCCAGCGATGGTGTGAGGAGCGGAAAATAGAGCCCCTATTTTGTGAGTTAGGCTCTATTTTGTCCTTCTTACAGTTATTGGTGGACAGAGGACTTGCTCATTCTACTATAAAAGTGTATGCAGCAGCCATCTCGTCCTGTCATGAGGGATTCAACGGCCGGTCAGCCTTTTCTCATCCACTGATGTTGCGGTTTTTACAGGGGGTCAGGAGGCTGCGCCCAGTAGTGCGCGCCTCCACCCCACAGTGGGACCTGCCGCTGGTGCTCGAGGCTTTGGTCACAGAACCATTTGAGCCTCTGGAGCTCTCCTCCCTCCTCCTGTCGTGGAAGACAGCATTGCTACTTGCCTTAACGTCAGCCAAAAGAGTGTCCGAGTTAACCGCTCTGTCGGTGCACCCGAGCTGTTTACTGATTCGGGGTGACCGGAGCGGCGCGACACTCAGACCGAACCCCTCCTTTGTGCCCAAGAACCTAAGGAGTGCGTTCAGGTCGAGGGTTATTCAGTTTGGGGGATTTAGTCTTCCACCCCATGGTGGGGCCAGGGAAGCTAAATTACACCTCCTCTGCCCGGTGCGCGCGTTAGCATGTTATGTAGAGCGCACAGCTACCCTGAGACGCACTGAACAGCTGTTTTTGTGCTTCGGGGGCGGGGTGACTGGAAAAGCTCTGTCCAAGAAACGCCTGGCAGGCTGGCTTTGCGAAGGCATTGCACATGCCTACGAGCAGGCAGGGAGAGCCTGTCCCACGGGGGTCCGTGCGCACTCCACACGAGCTGTGGCTGCATCAACAGCCTTATTCAACGGTGCGAGTGTGGAGGATATATGCACGGCGGCGTCTTGGTCAACGCCAGGCCCCTTCATAAAGTGTTATCTCTTGGATATGTCTGGCTCTTTCTCAACGTCTGTGCTTGCTGGGGCAACACAGGACTGGTGAGGAGGGGGGGGGGGGGCTGTTGGTCAGTGGGCATCTGACCCTCTCCCCGGGCGTAAAATGCCCTTACGTTTCTCCGGACCCCTGGAGGGTCGCGGGGGACGTGGGGTGCTCTGGGCCCTTTTCAGGGCTGGAGGGCTCCCCTCGCCTGCCTGGGGGCAGGAGGGGGAGAGCCCTCCATACTATAGTCCCTACACACTCTGCACGGGGTCAGTGTTTGAGTGTGGGGACATAGGGGGCACTTGCATTCTCCCCGTGCTCTTTAGGGACTCAGGAGGGAGAGTGCATAGTGAACCCATACAGGGCTGGGGATTGTTTCCCTGTCTGCCTATAGGTGGATGCAGGGGAGCCCTCAGCACTGTTTTTTTCGAGCACAAGTTTTTTCGCGAGGCAAGCGCGTCAGGGTGAGCTCTATCGGCCGCAGCCCAGACTTCTCCACGGTTACAACCGAGGGAGAGGTGAGTGAGGCGCAGTGGCTGCTAAAGCCGGTCAGGGACAGTGAGGTGGAACGGTGTGCTGGACGACAGTGCGTGCATACATCGGGGCTCCGCCCACTGTACCCATAGAGTCCAGTAGAGGGCGGAGCCTGTGAGAGATATAACGTTGGGTTACGTATTGTAACCCTTGTTATATTAGCACAGGCGTAGCCCTCTACCTTGGAGGCACTGTCTGTCCTATACCGCTCGCTGAAGAGTGGTGTAGGATGATGGTCAGGAGGCGAGGCCTCCTTTTATACGGAAGTGAGATGCGCACGCATTCAGGTAGGCCCGCCCCGGGGCCGGCTACGTCCATAGAAATCTCAGTAGGTGAATGCTTGCATGATAAGGTAGTACCCATAGAGTCCAGTAGAGGGCTCCGCCTGTGCTAATATAACAAGGGTTACAATACGTAACCCGACGTTTTGATCATCATTGATGGTGCTTGTCTTTTTCCCTGATAAAGAACAAAGCAAGTCAATACATAGCATATTATTAGGCAAAACAACAGCATTGATTTAAAGACCCGATTTGAAGCCAGTCAATTGTTATATGATCAAAGCATTTCTTTATCCTCCTTTCTGTTTGTCCTTTTCTCTCCTCTTCTCACCCTCCCTAGCGGAGAGTATCCAAAGCCATCCAAATGTGTTTTTGGAAGGTGGAAAAACTCTTGGAGGTCCAGCTTCACAGACGTCCTCTGAGACAAAGCCTGAAGGAGGAGTAGAAGAGGGAGGTCGTAGAGCTAGCGTGACCAGTGTGGAAAGTGAAATGTCGATTTGCTTCATGGGCCAGCTGGGAAACACCATCACTAACAGTGAGTGGGGGGGAGAGAGAAGAAGCTTCACTGGCTTGTCTCCTTTATTCAGGTTCATGAGGTTCCACAGCTCTTAAATTGACCTCATATTTTCACATGTTTGTGTTTGTGTGTGTGTGTCTCAGTTTCCAGTAGCTGGTGGGGCTCCAAGAGACTGGATTATGCTCTGTACTGCCCGGATGTGCTGACCGCCTTCCCAACGGTGGCTCTGCCTCACCTTTTTCATGCCTCCTACTGGGAGTCCACTGACGTAGCAGCCTTTGTTCTTCGGCAGGTGGGAAAACCTAGTTGACAGCTATTGTTTTCTGACAGATTGAGAAAAATGATTGTCTCAGTATTTAGTTTGCACATTTTTTTAAGTGTAAGTCCGCATCCTCAGGTTTTTTTAGTTTTTTTTTTACTTCTATGACATTGTTAAAGCAAAATGAGAGCAGCAGGTAATCAGGTCCTGATGTCATTACATCATCATCTCCTTCCATACAGATAACAAACCACATGTATTAACTAAAAGTCTGGCCACGAGTTGGTCATTTTATCAACAAACCTACAAAATACACAATATATAAAGAAATGTACCATAACAATTGAACAATTAATGTGTGAATTCTGTTTGAAGAAAGAACACCATAAGTTGAGCTACTTTCCATGAGTCATGAAATGTGTATCTACAGTAAAGAACACACTTCATGATAAATGCCCATTTTACCTCGCCCATTTTAGCCTAGATAAATCATGTTAAAGATCGTGAGGATTGTGCAGTGGTCCACAAAATGAAAGGAAAGGATCATTATCAAGAGGTCTGCATACTTTATCTAGTGCAAAGATGTTTAGGATTCATCTCACACTTCACAGCTGAGCCTCATAGCAGAGGGAGCTATTTTTTTCATAAATGTTTGATTTTAGGACTGAAATCTGAACAAATCTTACCAGGATTAGGAGGTTTATGCTGGTTTATGTATACTGGCATGACTAGAATTAGCAAAATTCAGACGTTAAGAAGTTCCAACTCTTCTATGGCTGGTTAGTATTTTAAAGGTCTGCACGTGTTGTCTCAGCTGAGTAGTTATAGTGTTACATCCACCATGTGTGTATAGCTGCCATTATCCTCAGAAACTAACATGGAGCAGGCCAAAAAGAATAAATAAATAGGACCGGTGTATCACATCATGTCCAGGGGCGGCGGGTACTGTAGGCTAGGGAAGGCTAAGCCTTCCCAAATATTTCTGTCACAGCATCCTGGTAAAATAAAAATATAATGTATAATGTTTGTGTCTTTGACATTAGCGCTGCTATGCAGCCACCTGTGCCCTGTAGGCCTACTACGAAGCCAGTTCAACATATCCTTGATATGTTTGAGTTATCTTAACTAACCCTAACAAACGAGATCTCGCTAAGCGGTTCTACGATGCTGGTTAATAATAGGCTTGTTTGAGACGAGCTGCGGCTCGCCTCGAAAGTAGACGAGAATAGCCGATCGCAGCCGGGGGAGGTCTCAATAAGCTCGCCTGAAGTCGGACAGCTCGGAGTCGGCTTGTTCTTCTTCTGCTCAAGATTAGATTTAACTTTATTGTTATTGCACATATTACAGGTACTGAGACAATGAAATGCAGTTTAGCTTCTAACCAGGAGTGCAAAAAGCAGTAAAGTGATTATTAATGCTGCCCATTATGGGCACAAGCAATTTTCACCCATTTATTAATTATATGTTTTAAATGTGAGTGTTTCCTATCCCCTAAACCTCCAGGGATGTACACAGTTTAATACTGGAGACTTCTTATTATGGGAAATACGAAAACGTCTTTTAAAACTACAACTCCCAGTAGAGACGTGCCATAGATAGAGAACATGTTGCGAAACACAATAGCCAGCATGTGTAGTTCTGGGGACGGGGTGGGGGAGGGGGGGACGCGGTGGACCCGTTCAAATCCAGTTTTGGACAGTCTGCCGTGGTTCCATCCCATTTCAAGTGCTGTTCGAGGCTCGGCGTAACCCTCGGAGCACACTCTCCAATCACAGAGCTTGAGGACTATCACGGGGTTTGTCAAACAGAGCACATGGTGTAGTCCAAACGATAGCTGGGGATTCTGGGTAGTGTAGTGTCTTTACTCCGAAAAAATATTTGTTTCTACGAATCGAAGGGGAAAAATACAAAATAATTGCACACAATTCTCATTTCTCTAACCGCTTGCTGCTTCCACTCCTCTCTCCTCGGTTCCCCTCCTCAGTCCTCCGCTCGCATCTCCTGTGGGCGGCACCAAGTCTCGAGGAGGGGAGTCGAGGATAGGAGTCGAGGAGGGGAAATTTGAGTATTGAGAAAGCTCTAGGGTTTCTCTCACCAGCTGAGAGCGCATTCACGTGAAAGGGGTGGGGTTAGAAACATTTGACCAATCACAAACAGGGACAAAGTGTACTGTGTTACAGCATTACACTGCAGCGTCATACTTCATTAATGAAAAGTAAACTAATATTAGACAAATATGAACTTTAAACATCCATGACTTAAACATATAATCCAGGATACAAGCCACATAGTTGCTGCAAGGTGAATACAGAACAACTGGTTAAAAAACAAATAAACTACCGAGTGTTTGAAAGCGTACAATAGGTTTATGATATCACTCTCCCATCTAAGACACGAGTGGATCTGACTTTAATTACATTTGAGTTGAGTGTTTCGTCAACTTAATGTGTTGCTTAAAATAATACTTCTGCATACAGTATGTGACACTGTAAGTGTTGCACGGTCAGATACGGCTCAAGAAGCTGAATCAGATAAGGACATAGGCTATGATATATTATGATATTATATGATCGATGATCTGATTGATGATGTGATATGAATGATAAGTGCGACACGTCGGCGTCTTCTCTGCATACGGCAGTTTAAACTGTATTTCCTTTATCCTGTAATATGACTTGATTTAAACTCCGCACACTGAGCTCTGATTGGTCAGCAGGCGGTGCTTTCACTGAGTTTAGCTCTTTTCTATAGACGCCGGTGGCGGGCAGCGTCAGGTAAAAAAAGTTATTTAGCCTTCCCAAACCTGAGCCTCACGCGCCGCCTATGATCATGTCTGATAACAGCCCTTTCGAACGTTGGCTTTGATCTCGATTATATGAAAGCAGAGGAGCAATATCTGCTCTAGCAGAGTGTGAGACTAGTGACAGGAATACAAAACACTTATAAGAATAAAATAAGCGTTATTGTCGCCATTAGGAAGCTAATAAAGCCAGATCATTATTTTGGTTCAGCGGTTGGCAGCTCCACTTGATGCTGCTTCATATTAAATAATCATTTTGGAGTTTAAGGGCTGCATGGAACATCATTTTTTGAAGCTAAATTATGTACTGTTCTGACAGTTCAAACTCAGTATGTGAGAGAATGTCTTCCAATGATATGAAACAAATATCCTCTCTATGTCTAAGAGTGGGGACTGATATGCATGGCTTCTTTCAAGTAGAGTCATTTTATTCAAGTACTCCAAATCCCCCTTCAGTCCTTCATCTGTGCCAGTGTTGCTCTTGACGTAAAAGGTTCCCATTTGATGTGATTGATGATCTGAAACATAATTCCAGGTTTTGTACCAAGACTTCATTTGGTAAAACGTCCATGTTATAAATCTTACGGAAAAAGTACTGACATGAGACTGGGTTATTACTATTAGAAAGAAAACTGATCTGTGTGCTGAACTGAACGATGTGATTTGATGTGTGAACGGTTATTCTTCAGTTGAGAAATTACTAAATATATCCCTCCAGTAGTAAACTAAAGTAAAATGTGTAGATACTTGTAGTTTGCTTGAGTTGAATTGTACTACATCTGAGATGCAGATATTGTACACTTTTGCTTAACCACATTTATGTAACATCATAAGTTACTTGTCAGATTCAGATCATTCGTAAAAAATCTAGATACAAAATTATGCAATGTAAATACTTTCACAAGCTTTAAAATTAAACTGATCAACACCTTAATTCATTAATAATTATAATCATCAATATACATTATTCTGCAAAATGAGAACTTCAACTATCAGTACTGATGTCTATTTTGATGTTGTTACTTTTTTACACCACCTTGAGTAAAATATTTTCTATTCAAAAGTTAGCTTTTTACAGGGCATTGCTGTCTGGTAAAAATACAAATATGAATATGTCTTCTATCCCTGCTGCTCTGATATACGCATGTGTTTATTGACAGCTCATGCGATGTGACTCCTTGAAGACCCAGGAAGCGGACAGTTTGGGCTCCACTTCATTCTCTCCCTCCAGCCCACGAGAAAAATGGCTCAGAAGGAGGACACATGTCAAACTAAGGGTAATTAATTATTTGGCTTTTTGATCTTTATGAATACACTTTTGACCCAGTTTTCTCTGCTAACGGAAATATGACATTTATGGCTGCTCATTTAACTTTTAAAAGCTCATATTGAAACTTTACGTGGAAGAATTCATGAATAATTGAACAAAGCACTTTACACAGCCGGAATTGTTTTGTTCCCTTAGGTGCCTCTCGTTCTAAGAATCACACCCACCACTCAGAGCCGAACAGCAGCTACTGTTATTCTGCCACAACTGCCTTGCATTCATTTATATCAAAAATAGAGTTCTCTCTCACTGCCGAGGTTGTGGTATTATGGACTGTGTGAGTGGTCTGTGATCTGAATTTATTTAAAAACTCCCAATCTTTCACCTTGAAGCATGTAGATGTACACAAATACTTGATGCTTCTGGGCCCTGCAGAGAGGAACAATCACGATCTCATAACACTTCAAAGAGTTTTCATTTGATCTGCCTTCTTCAAAAGACAGAATCAGAATGATATTGCCAGATTGACATGGAAACATTTCTGTATCTGAGTGTGTGAAGGTCTTTCTCAGTGTCATCTTGGCACAGTGACATGTTTCTTATGTAAGAGCTCAAAGAAAAGCAGCTCTGAACAAGTTGCCTTTTACTGTATTTGATTCAGAATGTGGAAAATGAGAGATGTTGCGTGCTGATTCAATCTGGGCACAGCCTGCCCATCTCATTCAGAGTGATACTATTCAATGAGACTTGGCTTCTATTTGTGATCTTCCTTGACTTGGTAAGAAGGAGTTTGTCACAGCTGCAGAGGGACCACTAGGTTGGATGTTGCTTCTTACCCTGTTTGTGAGTGGATGGTAATACTGAGGTGCATGTAGATTTCCTGTATGACCACACGGAGTGAATTGTGTCAGGGAAAACTGTAAGGACTCCTCACGTCACACAGTAGCTATGATTCTTTTTGTATTTTGTTTGTGTGTCCAGGTATGTGCATATATGGTTTGCTTAATCTGCGTGCTAGCTATCAGTGAATCAGTAAGTAGAACCTCATGCTGGTAACAGCTGGAAATGTTTAACTTCCTTGGTCGATGTCACATCCATTCAATCAATTATCATTAGCCAATGTGGTGAAACAGTAAAATACAAGCACAACATGTTTGATCTCATCAGCATATCTTTATTGGAAGATGCTCACTTAGGTTTTTAGCGAGTGCTGTCAATAAACTGCAGTGCATTTTCAAGTCAACAGAATATCATCTCAGCCTCTACTCCAATAACAAATCCCTGGAAGGCCTTACCTCAGAGGCATTTGGCATTTCAGCGGAAACACTCTACAACACACGCCACGTGTTGTAGTGATTGATTGCCAAACATTTGCTGATTGATTGCGGATTGATTTTTGAATCATCTCCAACCCTTTGTCAATCGATTACTCACCAAGATCTTTGTTTGATTGGTGTTAATGGATGTTAATCTTTGAACTTGGGGATCATAATGTTGAAACATTTTTCTAAAACTCAGAATCCAGTCAGTCAATAATGTCTTTGTCCTTATGTCTGTTTCTGAATTGTCTGTTTCTGAATTGTGTTCTGTGCTCCTTCTTTTTATTTACTGCAGAACGTCACTGCCAACCACAGGGTGAATGACGTCATTGCGACCGAGGATGGGCCCCAAACGCTGGTTGGTCGCTTCATGTACGGCCCCTTGGACATGGTCACTCTGACCGGAGAAAAGGTGAAACTCAGCAACATGATTGGTTACTCCAGATATACGTATCTATTGGTATAAATGTTTGTTAATCTCCAACCTCTTGACTCATCCTGCCCTGTTAGGTGGACATCCTGCTAATGACACAACCTCAGTCTAGTCGCTGGGTGCACTTTGACACGGACGTCACCAACAGCAGCGGCAGAATCACATATACCGTACCCAAGAGCAAGAAGCTGGGCCTAGGAGTGTATCCAATAAAAATGGTTGTCAAGTAAGCATATCATACAAAGCATGGAGGAGAGCATTTTTGAATTATCCCGTATTTGTCCAGCTAGAGTGAAGATGCCAAGGCCATGAAGGGAGTTACAACAATGTGTAGTAAATGCATTCACTCTTTCTGTTTCTATACCAAAGGGGCGATCAAACGAGTGCAGAGGCCTACCTGACTGTGTTGCCACGGGGCATGGAGTGTGTGGTCTTTAGCATCGATGGCTCTTTTGCTGCTAGTGTGTCAATCATGGGCAGTGACCCCAAGGTCCGCCCCGGAGCTGTGGATGTCGTCAGGTAACTAGCAACAGTGTGTGTGTGTGTGTGTGTGTGTGTGTGTGTGTGTGTGTGTGTGTGTGTGTGTGTGTGTGTGTGTGTGTGTGTGTGTGAGTGTGTGTGTACATGACATTCACATCTTCAGAGATTGACAAAAAGGTTTAGAAAGATATGCTTTCAGAAGTGAATGTGTATGCCAGCGATTACTGCATTAAAGCCTGTGGTTCTTGTTATAGTGCAACAGCCGATCAAATGTAAAGGCGTTGAATTGTTTGATGTTATGTATTCACATGCAGGCATTGGCAGGACCTGGGATATCTGATCATCTACATCACAGGCCGTCCTGATATGCAGAAGCAGCGTGTGGTATCCTGGCTCTCTCAGCACAATTTTCCCCATGGCATGATCTTCTTCTCTGAAGGCCTAGTTCATGATCCCCTGCGGCAAAAGACCATCTTCCTCAAGAACCTCGTACAGGAGGTACTGTTCACAAACCGTTGTTCTGAGCACGTCACCTTTCTTACAAAGCATGTAAAACATTTAGTTCTCTGCCCTAAATTGATTTTGATTTCTGTCTGTTTACATCACTCTTTTGCAAGCTAACAGGGCTGTAGCCCTGGGTCGTGCTATTTCAAAATGCCATACACATCTGTCTCTGACTGATAATTCCTTCTGTCACCAGTGTCACATTAAGATTAACTCTGCTTACGGCTCCATGAAGGACATCACTGTTTACAACATGCTTGGCCTTGGTCCCTCACAAATTTATATTGTTGGCAGACCTTCGAAGAAGTACCAAAATCAGTGCCAGGTATGTACATTTATATTTCATTCTCCTTTTAACATCTTCATTTTTTACAGAATTGTGTTGTGTTTCTTACGACGGAGTATTAGGGCCACACTTAGAAGAAAAAAAACAGAGAGATTTCGAGAATAAAGTCATAATAATACGAGAATAAAGTCATAGTTACGAGAATAAAGTCGTAATATTACGAGAATAAAGTCATAGTTACGAGAATAAAGTCGTAACATTACGAGAATAAAGTAATAATTACGAGATTGAAGTCGTAGTTTCATAAGTGACTTGAGAAGCGGACTTGGAGGAGATTGTCTCCTTTCTGCAGGAGGAAATGGCTGGTTCTGGCCGACTACATTACATTACATTGCATTTAGCTGACGCTTTTATCCAAAGCGACTTACAATAAGTGCAATCGACCAACAAGATACAAACTTGAAGAAAACAGAATCATATAAGTACATCAGGTTTCATAGAGCTAAAACATTTCAAGTGCTACTCAACTGGCTTTAGATTAGCCAGTCCTTTATTAGTATATAAGTGCTTTGTTAATAGTTCTTTGTTAGTAATTCTATCGCTCGAAGTGGAGTCGAAAGAGAGTTTTCAGTCTGCGCCGGAAGATGTGTAAGCTTTCTGCTGTCCTGATTTCAATGGGGAGCTCATTCCGATTCCACTACAAGGCTATCGTTTGACTCCTTCTGGATCCAAAGCCTTGATTACAAGTCTCATCGTTTCTTGTGAAACAACAAATCCCCTTTGAACAGCTCGTAGATGTAACCAACCCTTGTAGTCGGCCAGAACCAGCCATTTCCTCCTGCAGAAAGGAGACAATCCCCTCCAAGTCCGTTTGGTTCGTTCTTCGAAATAATAGACATAGTTTCTTGCACAACCTTTTCAAAGTTCTAATACTTATGATAATCTGATGCTGATGTGCCAAAAGATTAAGTATTTCGTTATTTGAGAAACCTAAACTAAAGTACTGCTTCACAAGATGCTCCACATTCCTCATTTTATTGCAGGATGCTCCTGTTGTCTCCTTCTCAAGTCACTTATGAAACTATGACTTTAATCTCGTAATTATGACTTTATTCTCGTAACATTACGACTTTATTCTCATAATATTACGACTTTATTCTCGTAACTATGACTTTATTCTCTTATTATTACGACTTTATTCTCGAAATCTCTCTGGTTTTTTTCTTCTAAGTGTGGCCCTAATACTCCGTCGTAGTTTCTTCCTATTTCATTTGAAAGTCTTTAGTTTTCCTCTTGGTCTTTCTCATTTACTTTAATCTCTCCTTCTGGTTTTCCAATCATTTTTGATTGGTCGTATATATGCAGTTCCTGAGCGAGGGCTATGCAGCGCACCTGTCCACGCTTCAGTTTGGGCACAGAACCAGACCCAAGAAATCCCCTTCAGTTCGAATGGTCCTGAGGAAGGGCTCATTTGGTCTCTCAGCGAAGCCTGACTTCCTGTGTAAGCGCACCCACCTGCGCAGGACCATGTCTGTGCAACAGCCAGACCCCCCCTGCACCCCCAACCCCAAGCCTGAGCGTGCTCAGAGCCAGCCGGAGTCAGATAAGGACAATGGGGGAGGAGGGGGAGGTGGAGGAGGACTTGGCCCATGGGGACGACCCTCCATACATCGTGGAGACACGACTCCCTGACGTCAAAAAAGAGATGGAAGGATTGCAAGAGGGTAGACGAGGAGGAGAGCAAAGAGGTCATAGTGTCTTGGGCCAAGGTGAGATCTTGTGTTTAAATATGGAAGATTTAAAGAATTTTTACAGGTTCTAACAACCTTTCTTATTTTTGTTATTTTAGCCACCCTTCTTTACAAAAATAATTCCTTTGCACTATCCTAGCATAACCAAATGCAGTCATTCGATCATGTACAACAAGCAATTATTACTTCCATTTTAGTTGCACTTGCTTGTTTGCAACCTGTGATCACCTGTTTCTTGCCCTTCTGGATTTGCACAGTTTGATGTGTCACATAATCAAATTGAAATTTGCAGAATGAACACAATTCTAATAGTGCCTGTAAAAAATGTAAATGTGTGGTTGATTGTTTTCCATTAGAGAATAACAAGACCTGTTATTTTATTGAACATTTGCAGCCTCTCACGTCTGTTAAGCCATCTAAGAGCGTGATGCTCCGCGTAGCTTTGATGCAAATACAGATTGATTTGCTTGCTAGTCTTGACTCCTGACCAAGTCAATAAACGCCCACCTTCATTAGATAATGTTCTTTGATGTACCTTATATATTAAAGCATTTACACATTAAGTCACTGAGCATTTTATTACCAAGGTAGGGTCTAAGAGCGCAACATAAAGAAGGAAAACAGAAATCATTAATGAAGGAAGCAGTGCAGGAGAAAAGTAACAATGAGCCATTTTTCTGGCAACCTGTGTAAACGAATGCTATCATAAGCAGCTCTCTAGGACAGAATGTAGATCCGCCCATGATTATGATAAACGAAGTTCTGATGAGCTACAATGCAATGTTCTCCCATGCTTGAAATTGACTATTTCTAGAGTTGGACATATTGTCAGAGCAATTATGAATATTAAAGCCAAGTCACTGTGACAGCCTGTCGGAACAATATGCTAATACAGAACACGCAAAAGCTAATCAAAATGATTTAATCGTACAGAACATGAGACTTAACTAATATGTCCTATATTATTTGACAGTGTCACCTCTACATGTTGTACATGTACATTGGATCCTCTGCTGGCATCGCTTGCAGCTCAGCTCACGCTTGGCCCTCTACACTCTGCCCTTTTTTGTGACCTGCTCTGTGGATTGTCACTCAATGTTTGTGCGTGAGCAGTTGCCAGGGGACAGCAAGGATGTTTTGCAAATGTCTGTGTGGAGCTCAAAATGTGTCTCATTGTCAAATCAAAATAATGTACCACGTATTCATTCACACACACACAAGCTTCAGAGGATGAAATCTGTGAAGACGGTGATGACTCTGAACCTGTTGAGACTTTGCAACAGATTATGGGATTGCTGTGCCGACAGGACTTCATGATGACTGGCTCCGGTCCTGCACTGATGTAAATACTCGACATACTCTCCCTGTGTGGGCCTCTGGACACTGACATTTAGGTTCAAGCTGCACACCAGCTCTGCGATTTGGAGCCCTAAAGATCTGACCTCTGCCTCTATTTCACTCCCACTGTTAGATTTCTCCCTCGCGTTGGGGCCGGCTTACTACCCCCTACCGTCCCCTTGACCAGTCTGGCAGAACAGGCATTTCAACACCCATCTCTGATCGGGTCTTCAGCCGCTGAGGTCACATTTGCACTATTGAAGTGGTTTCTCAATTTAGCTGCGGTAATTGCTTCAAAACAAAGAGTTGTATTTGTATTTTATCGTATTTGTTTTACCTGAAGATTGTGCACTGTTGGTTAATATCACTAATAGAACATTTAACTCAGATAGTTTGTAGGACAGTGTTGGTTTAACCAAAACATGTTTACAGATTGATGGATGTAAAAAGTGATCAGAACTTGTTAATAGCAGTGTAATATCATTATTAACAACAGTAGTTTAGCTGGTTTGTAATTGCAATAGCTTGTGGGACATTGTACAATTCGGCCCATGCCAGTCGAATTTCCACAAGGATGGCTCTGCATCCATTTACTACATCTGCAGTGGAACCAATATATTTGTGATGATATCTGATGCTTTCTAGTGGGGGTTGAAATGAGTCTTATTGTGGTCCTGTTAAAAACTCTGTGCAAGTCAAACATATTTTTCTATGAGGAAATATTGTAAAAATAAATATTTTCAATGTATGTTTTTGAACCTTTTTTTTGTACTTTACTCTTGATTTTTGCCTTAAATTGTATTTGATGTTGTGTAGAGATTTTAAATGATTTAATGTCTTTGACCAAAGCATTACGTTTCACTGTTACTTCATGACAAAGTGCATTACATCGAGTTGATTATTTACGACATGTTTTAGACAAAATCTACAGTATGTGTGTGTACGAGTGTCTAGGTAATTGTTGTAGAGTTGTATTTACTGTGAACATAAAGACAGCTATGACACATACAGCACACTTCTCTGCAGAACCAGAGGACATAAGGAGGCCAGTGTTAAAATTCCGTTTGTGTTCTTTTCAGGACTGAGCAGGTTTTATAGATTTGGATTGAAGCAGTGTGTGAGAGGATTACTTAGTCAAGGTTGTTATACCTGCTATGAAAGGGGAAAAGGCTGATAAGTTTTTCGGATGTATTTAACTGCAAACCTGCACAGCGAAGTGGTACGTGCCAGCCAGCAGAGAGCTGTCTTGCCTTTTTATTTCACCGCCTGTACACCATAGGTGGTCCGGTAATTAGCTGTTTGATTACTAATAGGTATGTCTATCTTCCCTTAGTGCCACCCCTGTAATTTCAGTGCATTACTTGGTAATTATATAATATTATAGAAACAATACTGAAATACTTAACTTTCTCTTGTTTGGGAATAAGATTGTTAATAATGAAACATTGTTATAAAAGCATCAATATGATCATTTCCCCTAATGTATACACAATTGTTATAGCAACTTCAAAGTCGTTATAACACATATTGATATTGTACTGCCAGGACGATACCATTGAGGAGTGGGCAGCATTTTGGTACAACAATCTTAGCAAATGGCAAATGATAATCTAATGGTTAAATTGATGATTGTTCTCTGCATGTTAATTATTGGATATTGTTAACTAATGGCAATCAATTGTGATCTTTGGTATAAATGGTCTTTACCATAAATCCTACCACCGAATGTTGAGTAAATGCACATCAGTACTTGAATTATTAATAACGAGCTGATTTTTCAATGTTAAGAATGCTATAATTGATATTGTTATTTAATATTGTGACTTTACCTCTCACCTTTGCCTTACAAATGCACTTATTCAGTGGGAATTATGGAAATCATATACATTCCAGGTTCATCTTGACAAAATAACCCTAATATCAAAGAAAAAAAGAAAATATACTACAAGGTAAAAAATATTGTATTTATTGAGAGATTTAACCGTCACACAATTATTGTCTTCAATTAAATATAACAAACCTCTAGTACTGATAGATGTTTTCAATGGGTATTTACCATTCATGACTTAACTATTAGGTATTGACATAATTTGCCATTTGTTAACTATAAGTATAACTTATAAAGTAGTATAAACTTTTATTTGACTAACATTGTGTTGTAGCCTCTTTAAAAAAAAGTGATATATTTTTTTGTGGTCTTATGTTTAGTCTCAATAGTATTAGACACTGGCCTTTTGACCAATGTGTATTGTTTTGTACAGATCCCCTGGTGACCAATATGTTGTGTTTATTGGACTAAGTCCATCTTTATTGCATAAATAAAGATATTTCACCGTTAAATAATTTATTTTGCTCCAGAGCTGTGTTATTATTCCTTTCACATTCTTCTCATATGTGATAAGCTTCATTTTTTTCTTCAAGGTCAGAGTTACTATGGGGACATAGGACTTACTGTAAGTGTGATCATTTTTTTATTTGGACATGCATTGAAGGGCTTACTAGGTTGAAGAGTCACATTTAATAAACACTCACTCTAACTTTCTTTTTTTCCTTAAAGAAAATACTTGTGGATCAGAAGGTCTGATGTTGCACTGATTAGAGATATGGAATGTTGGCTTTACGGTGACTCTTTTCCACCTCAGGAAATCATCAGAGCAGCACTTCTGCTCTACTAATAATTGGCTACAAGCCTGTGTGATTGCTAGAAATAAAATCAATTCCCCGCCTAGTGCTGATAGTAAGAACCATTGATTTCAACAATGCGCAAATCCAGGTTGCTATTGTGTTGAGTTTACACTACATTCAGTTATTGACAGCATACTACTGTAGCTCCATGAGGCTGGGGCATGCAACACATAAATATGTGACCAATTTTGTCCAGTAATTGTATAAACTCACAAACTTGAGCTGTTAAATCAGACGTGGTTGCGTTGAATTAGATCATTTAGTCAAAAGGAAAAGTGCCAGAAGCATGTTGAGTATTCCCCTGCTGAGCCTGCAGCTTTTAAATGGTCTTCTTTCCCGCACTAATAAGCCCTTTGAACAGTACAGTACACTGAACAAATCCTGAACATATGAGCCATTATATCAAATCTTTGCATTGCATTAAACACAGTGAGGTCACAATTACCTCTATCTTGAGTCTGTATAAAGAGTTTTCCTTCCCCAGGCATCTGGTATAATGAGCTGGAGTTGGAATTCTCCAAGCAACATTTAGACATCATTAGTATAGTATTACCATCAACATATGGTCTGGAAAAAGAGGCAAAGCAATTTCTCCCATGCAAGAGGAAGGACTGCTGCTTTCTTATACTGTAGGCTTCTTTATTTGCATGGAAGATTAGAGTCAGAGTGATGGCAGGGATTTAAGTGATTAAAGCTCAGCAACCGTTACTGGCTCCAAATCCTTTCAATTTGTGTCCCTGTACTCCCCGTTGTTAGGCCCGTTGTTATGCCCGTTGTTATGCCCGTTTGTGTGAAATAAATCAGTGTAAAAAAATGCACCATCTTTGTCCCTCTTCTAATTTGTTCTTTCCCTGATTCACTACTTAAGATGATCAATATATTGAATCAAGGACAGTTTCTCTTCAGACTCTTAAGTAAGAGTGGACTACCGCTATTTAACCAATCAACAAGGCGCTCAACCTGCTTCCTTGGGGAGTGTGCTCTTTATTGCAAACAGCATGTTTAAGTACAGGGTCCTCATGGGATTTTTCAATTCTTAAATGCTAAAAGTAACATGTTCGTCACCAAACTTCCACTCACCTTAAGTACTGAACAGATCCACTTGTCATGTATGCCTGAATACACTTACAATCATACAACTTTTATCTGTATATCAGTGCATAAACAATCATTCACACATACACAGTCTATTGTATCTATTCTGCTGATTGTATCCTCAATCTGGTGTTGCAAAAGATACTTTACATTATATCACCATCTCTGTATATTTGTATTGTCCTCATTAGTAAATTAGATTAAATGAATACAGTCAGCATCTATCTGTGTCTCTATTGGTGCATCCCTAATTGCCATACTTGCTTTTATAATGCTTCTGGATAAATGAGGTCACAAAATCTGCTTTTGGATCTGACTATAATTCTTTGTTTGCTGTTGTTGCAGGGTTTTTTGTGCTGCAGCTGCATGGCAAAACACAGCATGCAGCAGTAGGCCTATACTGTATTACTTGAGGAAATTCTGAAGAGCACTCTTCTTATAAGATATTCTGTATTCTACTATTTAACATAACACCTGTGCATCTGAAATACTGGTCAAAGATTACAACAAGATGCTTCCATATGAGAGAAACCATCATCCTTTCTTGCCTAAGTTAATTAAGTTTATCTTTGCAATATAAAATAAGTCAGTTACCTTACCTAGCAGCAATTTAACACTTACCATGACCTCCTCCAGCTCTGCTTGGCCGAAACACCACTGAGTCAGCCTAATTGTCATTCCGAAACAGCAGAAAAGAGTTTAATTTGTCCTATGATCTGGCAGGTGATATGTGGATGCAAGGGCAGCAATGAGGAATGCATTACAATCTGAATGGATCAACAGGCCAGAGCAGCCTAGAGAGACAGAGAGAGACAGAGAGATAATTTGTTTAATTGCTGAGGTCCGCAAGGAGAGACCAAGATCGAAACATTGTGCCTCTGATAAGCTGGCATGGCAACACTAATGTTTAGTTCAAGCCTGTTTAAGTATTACTTTTTAACACATTGAAATCTTTCTTATTTTAAATGTTGTGCATGATTGTTTGATTTATTTTTTGTAAAATAGTTGCCTGTATGTCTCACGATATGTGACTTTATATTTTCCTCTTAGTTGCCGGCAGCCGTGACAGTGGAGTAAACGGTTTAGCTGTTTGGGGAAAGTCTAGGAAACGACCAAAAGGATGAGGCAAGATTAAAAATGATTGTGGATAACACAGCACTGGCGTAAAGCACGGTTGCTTTGATGCGTACAAAATCCTGTTATATTAGCCTATAACACACACTTCTGAATTCAGTTGTAGGTCAGGAGAAATTACTAAGAATTTAGGAAAGGATGGGTGGGGGGGGGGGAAGGACAATCTGTAGATTGCATTTGAGAAAGCAATTACCCAAAATGCCCCCAGGAGAGGATAGGGTCGGATGCTGGAGCAACATGTCACGGCTCACAGTGCATCAGATGTGACAGGATCTGTCCCTTCATTCAGAAATCGCATCTTTCCCCGCCACTGTTAACAAAGTCATCAGTATTTAACTGGTCTGAATGTTCTGACTGCTCTAGGAATGGATAAACATTTAGCATTTTTGTTTTAGTCAATATGTTATTTCTCTGCTTTGAAATGTCCTTTTAATCCAAGATGGTAGATAAAGGGATCTCGATCTTACTACGTAGCTCCATAAAATCTGGGTTTTTTTGCATTGTGAAAGACAAAATGAAGGTGAACAATTGAAGCAGAACCAAATGAATAAACAGCGTGTGCTCTTCAGAGATATGATTTATTCAAACTTGTATAATCAGTAGAATAAATTGCTGAAGAAAGATTTGCTCCTGATCCTTTTATCCCCCTGGAAACCACAGGCAGTCTAGTGTGCACATTATAAACATATTTTGCAGAAGAAGCGGGATCAACATGCTGAAGCTCAAGTAATGTTCAGCGGAGATGAACTCGTAAACCTGGCAGATTAATTTTTTACTTTGAAACGAGACAGTTGGGTTTAGAAAGCATCTTTTGTTTTGGACTTTTTAACTTTGCAAAGCTGAAAATGATTCTTGTGGTTATCCTCTTCTCCTTTTCTATTGATTTGTATAGCTACACAGGGGACGACAGGACGATGTCAACAAGCATAGTCACCGGGTTTTTTTCTGGCTGACATGTGGAGCTGAATATAGAGTTCACACTGTACAACAATGAAATCCTTATAACATACATGCTGGGATATATCCTTTATCTTTTTTAAATGTTTAAGAAATCATTTGACATACAGTATATACCTAAATTGATAAATGTGATCTAAAAAATATGTATTGTGGCTATTTACTACTTTAAAAACTAGGCTACTGATGGGCGGCCATAACGAGATTTTAGTTACGATGCATGCTTTCAGTAAAATGCTGAGTTTGTACATTTCTGTATAACACAGATAAGCACAACTCACCAAAGGCTGTTTTCCACAGCTAGTACAAACCACATATCGGGCATTAAATAGGTCACAGCCTGAAACGGTTTGCACACAAAGCAGCAACAATGGAAGTATAGCCTATAACTTGACCTCCCTGCAGGTGGGTTCAGTGTTAATCACCAAACACATTTTGTCAGGCAGACATGTTAAATGTATTAACATCCTAATAATACCTTGGCAGAGTTAATTTTGTTAACATTTTGAAACGAAATAGCTAAAATCAGTTGCAACCTGATCTCACCAGAATGCATGACTCCACCACGACTCCTTAACACCGCATTGCGTGGTGGAGTCACGAACTTTACTACATTTACGTGTGTGCACCACGCAAACAACGCCAATAGGCGCTTTCACACTGCGGTACTTTTCCCACAAATGTTCATGTGAACTTAGTTCATGTGAACTCTTTTATCGCGTTCACACCAAAAAGAGCCGGTACTCAAATGAGTTAATGTGAACCTTTTTACCGAGCGGCTCTTTTGTGAGAAAAGAGCTATATTTCTGATTGGCTGGAAGGATTGCAAACCACGCCCCGCAAAACTCCCAAAAAGTTTTGTGAAGCCGCCATTTTATTATCCTCGCATTAGCATTATTAGCATTAGCATTAGCCCAGCGCAGAAACGCAGAGAGACTAACTTATGGCAACACAAAATAAAACATGGGAGCGGTGGAGATGAGGAGGTGTCGGCGTTCTGGCGATTTACTCGGAAGACTTCAGTAGACTGAAGCCAGTCCCTAACTCCGGGGACTTCCGGCCGGTGACTCCGGGTGGCAGTATACGCCGTGAAGTGGTTTGCGGCCTGCCAGTAAACCCAAAGCAGAAGAAGAACAAGTGACGTCAGCGGCTTCATTTGCCCAATCCTCCCCCAGGGACTTTTTCCAGTGTGAACGCGATCTGTACTTAGTTCATGCGAACTAAAGAGTTCACATGAACTAAGTTCACATGAACCTTTAGGCGCTTTCACACTGCGGTACTTTTCCCACAAAGGTTCATGTGAACTTAGTTCATGAGAACTCTTTAGTTCTCATGAACTAAGTACAGATCGCGTTCACACTGGAAAAAGTCCCTGGGGGTGGATTAGGCAAATGAAGCCGCTGACGTCACTTGTTCTTCTTCTGCTTTGGGTTTACTGGCAGGCCGCAAACCACTTCACGGCGTATACTGCCGC